TATATTTCTGATGTTTTATATGTTCCAAATATTAATCAATACTTGATTAGTGTTGGTCAAATGTTTGAAAAAGATTATGCACTGGTATTTAAAGACAATGGATGCAGTATATTTGATTCAAAAAATCAGGAAGTAATGACTATTGGCATGAGAAATAGGAGTTTTTCTTTAGAGTGGAAAAATGGTGGTGATCAGGTACTTGCAGGCACTGTCATTGAGTCTTCTTTATGGCACAAAAGGTTTGGACATGCTAATTATACTCCATTCAAACAAATGCATGAATTGGGATTAGCTGAAAACATTCATAAAATCTGCCGTGATAATTGTATGTGTGATATATGCCAACTTGGAAAACAGACCAGGATGTCATTCCCTACAAAATAAGCAAAAAGGGTTACAAAAAAACTTGAGCTGATACACTTAGATGTTCGCGGACCAATGAGGACATCAACATTGAATGGAAGCAGATATTTTGTTATCTTCATTGATGATATGTCAAGAATGTGCTGGATAAGTGTGTTTCAGAAGTTCAAAAGCATGGTGGAAAATGAATGTGACAACAAAATCAAAGCCATCAGATCACACAATGGAATAGAGTATTGCTGCAGTCAATTTGTCAAATTTTGTGAAGAAATGGGGATAAAACATCAGCTAACCATTCCCTACTCTCCACAACAGAATGGTGTATGTGAAAGAAAGAATGTGACGGTTATGGAGATGGCTAGATGCTTGATGATTGAGAAAAAAGTTCCAAGGGAGTTCTGGGCAGAAGCTGTGAATACTGTGTATTTGCTCAACAGATTGCCTACAAAATCATTGGACAAAATGACTCATTTTGAAGCATGATATGGAACAAAGCCTGATGTCTCTAATCTGAAGGTGTCTGGGAGCATCTGTAACACTCACGTACCTGAAGTGAAGAGAGATAAGTTGTGCCAAAAAGCTGAGGTTGGAGTTCTATTCAGTTACTACAGCAATGCCGAAGGCTATATAGTCTTCAATCTTCAAAGCAAGAAAATAATTTCTAGCATGGATATTAAAGTGGATGAAGAAGCCTCATGGAACTGGGAATCAACAGGAAACAATCAACTTGAAATTCAAAAGGCAAATCCTCAAATAAGTGATGTTGATGTTAATGAAGAAGAGGCAATGTCAGATAGTGAATCTGATTATGAGAATGTTTTTTTGAAAACAAGGCCACTTAAAGACATATATGCTAGATGCAATTTAGCTACTCTAGAACCTTCAAACTTTGCTGATGCTGTAGAAACTCAATAGAATGGATGGCTAC